CTGATAATCTCTCCAACGTTAAAAAATAACCCAAAATATATATTTAAATAATATTTAATTTAATTTGTGGAAATTATTTCTTCTAGTTTTGTTAGAAAATAATTGTAGAATTTTATTAATTCTATAAAAATTTATTATTCGTAACCATTGATTTGCGACATGTAATTCACCCATAAAAATTTAATGTCGACCATAAATAAAATAGCAGGGATTTCGGTGAAGATCAAACTCACATATTCAGTCGAAAAAAGAAGCCAGACTAATGGAAATATTTACACGGATTTTTGTTCTTATCTTTTAAATATATATTTTTTCCGGCCTTTTTTTATAAATATATATCGGAATTTAAAAATGAACCCTATATTTATCCGTTATCCAAATCAAAATAATATTGTTCTGAATAAAAAAATGCCATATATTTTTTTTTATATCTTATTTTCATATATATCCATTTAGTAATTGTTCATAATATTTATTTAAATATTTTATTCAAAAAATTGTTCTATTACAAAATGTTTTGGTCGTTAAATAGGTGCAACGACCTTCTTCAGCTGATATACGTTGGAATTTCAAATTGAAATTTTTATTTCCTAATCAAATAAAAAAGAACAAGAAAAGATTGTTCTATATTCATTGCCATGCCAGTTCAAAAATGGATACTAAAAATAAAAAATTAGTAACTAAAAAATTATTTTAAATGTTCATCTTGAGCTGTGACCAGGTATTGAACTCACAACTTTTTTGCTTCAAATCACTGGATTAATTCAACTGCATTTAATCATTAAATAAATGCAGTGCCAGTTCAATTTTTAATAAGTTCCATATCTGAATAAAGTTATGAGCCAAATTTATAAATTTTTTAAATTTGTTAAAGGAAAAGAAAAAAATGAATGTTAATAAAACACTTTCCGAACACTGTAAATAGAGTAAATAATTAAAAACATCATCTCAGAAACAAAGAGGCAGACTATTCGATTTATAAATATGATATCCAATATCAATCTTGATTGACTGATTTTTAAACCTCGAATTATTTTTAGATGTGGCAAAAGTGAAAAATCGAACTTACTACTGAAAAATGAAATAAATATTTAAATTAAAATTGTAAGCTTCGTAAATTATTAAATGAATATGTTAAGACATCTTATATTTTTAATTAAATTAGAATTAAATTACGTTAAAAAAAATATCATAAAATAAAATTTCAAACAATTTTAATATATAATCATTATAAAGAAGGCCAGGAGGATTTAACACTCACAAGACATATTGAGGGCAAAATACTTTATGAGAATTTTTATTTTAGTTATCTTTGAACATCTTTTGCATACGGCCAAATCATTCGAAAACCGGTTTAACAGAGAAAGCAACGTCATAAGTTCAATAGATGGGTGCCCTTGGGAATGCTAGCTATGCTTTGCTTGGATGTGAGAGAAAATTTTTTGGGATTTATAACGGATAAAAATTATATGGAATAAAAGCAGAGTTCTAATTAATTTCAATATTTTATATTCATTTATGAAATATTTTTGATATTTTTTTTTATTTTAAATCCAATTTATTTTAATTTTAAGATTTTAAAAATAAACCAAATTTCAGTAAAAAAAAAAAAAAAAAAAAAAAAAACAAAAAAAGTTTAAAATTTTTTTTTTTTATTTTTAAACCAAAATTAACATCTCTTTATTTTAAGAAGAAATCCCAAATGCAAATATATTTTCATTGAATTCAGAAAATCATTCCTATGGGAGAACTAACACGAAAAGAAAAGAAAATTTTAAATGACTTATTTTTATGATTTTAATCAAAAAAAAATAAATAAGAAATCTATTATATTTATTATATTTTTTTTAAAATTTTCATTGAAACAACTATTTTTTTGATAAACAAAAAACGAATCAATCAATAAAACATTTTTTGGCAAGTTCATAATTTATACAATAAAATGTTCATCAAAGCAAAAACTGCCCTGGGTGGTTTTTAACTTTAATCAATTATTATTTTTATTTTATTATTATTATTATTATTGCATTGGTGGATATCCAAAAAAAAAATGGAAAAAAACAACAAAAAAAACCGTTTTTTTATGGTAAAGTTTAGAAAACAAAATACAAAATGATGAAAGTCGAAAATGAATTATCATTCAAAATTGTTAAAACAAATCTATCGAATTCAACTATTTTATCCCCCATTAAAACGCAATTTAACAAAAAATTTGATCAAAATAAATGTGGTTTCAGAGGAAAGTTAAAATTAACGCCATGGGTTTTTCAGGCAAAAGAAAAGCAAATCGTTAAAACTTGTTTGCATATTTGCTATAAGAATATTCTAATTCACCAACACAATAAACGTTAATATTTTCAATCAGTTAAGATCAAAAAAAATTCCAAAATATAAATTTTTTGAAATTATTATTATTATTATTGCATTTTCCTTTTCTAATAATCAATCTGCAAAGACTGCCATTTCAACGAGAAAGCATTTTCAAAAAATTTTGGTCATATTATTATTATTATTATTATTATTATCATCATCATCATTCGATTTCTGCTATGGAGACAAACCTACTAAGTCTTTTAAAAGACCTAAGGCAGGTCGTGGTGTGTTGTTATGGCCACATTTCATGTTAATTTTTTTTTTTTTTTTTTATCTCCGATGAAGTTGCTAGCGTTACATAGACAAAGTTCTCCTTAGTGTGTGTGCTGTACTTAATAAGACAATTTTCTGTATGTCTCTTAAGTTGGGGTTTCAGGGATTCTTTCAATGTGTTGTTTTGTTCCATTTTTTATAATTCCAAGTGCACCTATTACCACTGGTATTATTCTTGTTTTCAATTCCACATTTTTTTCTATTTCAATTTCAGGTCTTTGTATTTTGATAGTTTTTTCAAATTCCTTGGTTGCTATGTTACAATCCGCTGGACAAACAGCCATATCAATTAGTAGGCAATTTTTTTTCTTTCTGGTTTTTGACAATAATGTCCGGCCTATTTTATTATTATTATTATTATTATTATTATTATTATTATTATTATTATTATGATACATATTTTTGTTATTATATACATTTTCCTTACGGATCTCAACAAGAGACCTAATCTCATAAATGGCTTGAATGACATTTTCCACTGATCATTTTTGTAAGAAAAAGAAATGAAAAGAACACTTAATGTCCCTAATGTTGCATATATAAGGTGTGAGCTGTATTTACGAGTATAATTTGTTGTATTTATTTTTATTTCATCATCATCTTCCACGTATTAGAACTTGTAATATTTGGTTTTATATTAATAACAGCAGATGATATTGAATCATCACAACGATCATGATTACGGATGGTTTTTTTTTTTCCGTTTTCATCTTTTCATTGATTTCTTTTCCTTCTTTTCTCCTCTGTGGATTTTTTTCCTTCTTCCTCTCGCTCGAATTCTTTTTCTTTGTTTTTAATTTCATCGCTCATCATATTTTTTATTCATATGTTGACAATTTTTCCTTCTTTACTTGACATTTTCTTTCTTTCTTTCTTTCTTTCTTTCTTTCTTTCTTTCTTTCTAAATTTATTTCTCAGTCAGTTATGTGCCATGCGTAATACGCACGTAGGCGATCATGTATCTTTCGATACATCACTGACGAGGCAGATTTTTTCTATGCAGAATAATTATTAAATACGATAGATAGAGTTGCCATCCGAGATTACAGAACCCGGTCTGTTTTCTATTTACCCATAGCTGGGGAAGAAGAAGAGGATTCATAACTTTCCTAAAGGTTTATTAGCACGTCAGTCGGTCAGTTATGGGCCATACGAAAACATTTTTGTAAAGCGATCATGTATCTTTCGATACATGACTGACGAGGCAATTTTTTTTCCATTATAATTATTTCTTTCCGCGGTAGACCAGTTGCTATCCAAAGCTACAAAACCAGGTCTGTCCTGCTATTTTATTCAGATCGGAGAAGAACAGGATTCATAACTTTCCCAAGGATATTAGCACGTAAGTGAATGTAATGGATTCGACTGGAATTCGAACTCGGCACGCCGATTTCTAACTAGCTTAAAAACTGCTCTATCGGGTGTCATTTAAGCTAGCTCCTGCGAAGGGGTCTTAATTAAGCCTTTGTCTTGTTCAGGTGTTTGAGTCTCCCTAAGACTTTGCATATTCACAGCATTGAAAGCTCTGCTCTCTGCTGAATTTTCATTTGCACGGGTCTTTTCCTCGCTGCAGCCTTGACTCTTTTGATTGCAATCTGGTCCTCTGTTGGCGTAGATTATCTTTTTTGCAGGCCATATTGCTGCCGTGTGCGGCAATAAACTACAGAAGAACTCATAATTGATCACTGCATTTAAGTATTGCATTAATCTTACCTTTTAAAAGTTCAACGATAATTCTTCTGTTGCCAGTTAATTTAAAGACAATTTGATGTACGTAGGTCCTTACTTTCCGTGCAAACAATTATTTTTATTTCATGGGTGACTTTCGCTCGATTTCGCAGTTAATTTTGATTATTCTGAAAATTTCCAAATAATAAAAATTGTTAACGTAGAAAAAATTTGTCAAAAAAAAAAAAAAAAAAATCAAGTAAAAAATATCGCCGAAATCAATCGCAGTAACGAACATTTGGGAATCCAAAATTTCCGGATTGCGGGTCCAAATCTGAGCCGGAATGTATTCAATTTGGTCACGGAGTCGGCCTGGTTCCAAAATAGGATGGATATGTTGAAAACGAGTGACACAGTGACACACTGACTTTAGGATTCATTTATGTAGATTAATTTTAATGCCTTTACTTTTTACCTTTTTTGTTTTGACTTTTCTTTCTTGCTTTCTTTCTTTTTTCTTACTTTCTTTTTTCTTTCTTTCTTTTTTTTTCTTTTTTTTATATATGTGTAGGCCTTAAGTTAGTTGTTTCTTTCTTTTTTTGCTTCTAATTCACATTACTGTCTTCGTCTTTATTTTGTTTTGACTTTACCGTCTTACTTTCTTTTTCTTTCTTTTTTCATTATGGATGCTTTCTTTCTTTCTTATTCACTTTCGTCATTTTCATTTTGACGTTACCGTCTTTTGTCTTTCTTTCTTTCTTTCTCTTTTTCAATCTCTTTCTTTCTTTCTTTCTATACATTCTTTCTTTCTTTCTTGCTTTCTCTCTCTTTCTTTTTTCTTGAAAACAATCACAAAAAGTCTCTTTCTTTCTTTCGTTCTTTCTTTCTTTTTGAATTTTCTTTCTTTATACATTCTTTCAATCTCTTTCTTATTTTCTATACATTCTTTCTTGAAAACTTTCTTTATCTTTATTTCTTTCTTTCTTTATATACATTCTTTTCAATCTCTTTCTTTTTTTTTCTTTTCTTCTTTTTCTTTCTATACATTCTTTCTTTCTTTCTTTTTTTTTTTTTCTTTCTTTCTAGAAAAAGGAAAAATACATTCTTTCAATCTCTTTTCTTTCTTTTTTTTCTTTCTATACATTTTTCTTTCTTTCTTTCTCTTTCTTTCTTTTTTTTTTTCTTTAGATTCTTAAAAATTCTTTCTTCAAAGGATTTTTTTCTTTCTTTCTTTTTCTTTCTTATTCTTTCTTTCTTTTCTTTTTCTCTCTTTTTTTAAAAAGAAACTTACATACATTTTTTCAGTCTCTTTCTTTCTTTCGTTCTTTTTTTTTCTTTCTTTTCTTTCTTTATATACATTCTTTCAATCTCTTTACATTTTTCTTTGTTTTTCTTTCTTTTTCTTTCTTTTTTCTTTCTCTTTCTTTCTTTCTTTCTTTCTTTTCTTTCTTCTTAGGCAATTACATTCTTTCAAATTTCTTTCTTGATTTCGTTCTTTTCTTTCTTTCTTTCTTATTTCTTTTTCTTTTTTTTTTCTTTTCTCTTTCTTTCTTTCGTTTTTCTTTTTTCTTTCAATCTTTTCTTTCTTTTCGTTCAGAATTTTCTTTCTTTCTTTCTTTATATACATTATTTCTTTCTTTTTTTTTTCTTTCTTTCTTTCTTTTTTCTTACATTCTTTTCTTTTTCTTTCTTTTCTTTCTTTTTTTTTACTTTCTTTCTTTCTGGATTTTCTTTTCTTTCTTTTTCTTTTCTTTCTTTTCTTTCTTTTCTTTCTTTTTTTTCTCGAATTTTTCTTTTTTTTTCTTTCTTTCTTTCTTTCTTTTTTCTTTCTTTCTTTACATTCTTTTCTTTTCTTTCTTTCTTTTCTTTTTTCTTTCTTTCTTTCTTTTTTTCTTTTCTTTTCTTTGAGATTTTTTTTCTTTTAACATTTTTTATAGATAGAATTTCTTTCTTTTCTTTATTTTCTAATAAACAGAATTTCTTTCTTTTTTATTTTTCTTTATTTTCTTTCTTTCAATTTCTTTTTCTTTATTTTCTCTTTCTTTTCTTTCGTTCTTTCTTTCTTTCTTTTTTTTTTTTATATACATTTTTTTCAATCTTTTCTTTCTTTCTTTTTTTTTTTTTTCTTTTTTTTATATACATTCTTTCAATCTCGAATTTTCTTTCTTTCTTTCTTTTTTATACATTCTTTCAGTCTCTTTCTTTTTCTTTTTCTTTCTTTTTTGACTTTCTTTCTTTTAAATTTTCTTTCTTTCTTTCTTTTTTTTTTCTTTTTTTTTTTCTTTCTTTATTTTCTTTTTTTCTTTTTGATTTTTTTAAAAATACATTCTTTTCAATCTTTTTCTTTCTTTCGTTTTTTTTCTTTCTTTACTTTATTTGTTTCTTTCTTTTTTTCTTTCTTTCTTTTCTTTCTTACTTTCTTTCTTAATTCATTATCTTTCTTTCTTTCGTTCTTTCTTTCTTTCTTTCTTTCTTTATATACATTCTTTCAATCTCTTTCTTTCTTTCTTTCTTTCTATACATTCTTTCAGTCTCTTTCTTTCTTTCGTTCTTTCTTTCTTTCTTTCTTTCTTTATATACATTCTTTCAATCTCTTTCTTTCTTTCTTTCTTTCTTTCTATACATTCTTTCTTTCTTTCTTTCTATTTCTTTCTATTTCTTTTCTTTCTTTTTTTTTTTTTTCTTTTTTTTTTTCTTATTTTTTCTTTCTTTCTTTCTTTCTTTTATTATCTTTTTTTTTCAATCTTTCTTTCTTTCTTTCTTTTTTTTTTCTTTCTTTTCTTTCTTTCTTTTTTTCTTTCTTTCTTTTTTTTTCTTACTTTCTTTCTTTCTCTTTTCTTTCTTTTCTTTCTTTCTTTCTTTACATTCTTTCCTTCTTTTTTTCTCTTTTTTTTCTTTTCTTTCTTTCTATACATTCTTTTTATTTTTTTTTTCTTTCTTTTTTCTTTCTTTTTTTTTCTTTCTTTCTTTCTTTTTTCTTTATATACATTTCTTTCTTTTCTTTTTTTCTTTTTCTTTCTTTCTATACATTCTTTTTTTCTTTCTTTCTTTCTTTTCTTTTTTCTTTCTTTTCTTTCAATTTCTTTCTTTCTTTCTTTCTTTTAATCTTTTTCTTTCATTCTTTCTTTCTTTTCTTTCTTTTCTTTTTTTTCTTTCTATACTTTTCTTTATTTTTCTTTCATTCTT